TCAAAATGAATGTGGAGAAGTTGGCTGGAGCAAGACCAGGCAGGGTCCTTCAAGTCAACAACTACAATTCACTTAAATTCAACAAGTTATAAATGGGTCACCACACACGATAGTGGGGTCTATAAGTGGAGTGAGAGGCCAGGTCTGACCTTTAGGAGTTCTCATTCTATTAGGGCAGCAGACACATGCAAGTAAACATAGCAAAGTTCAGGCTATGATAAGTGCAATTATAGACGTAGAGACACAATGCTGTTGATTACAGCATGGATAAGACAGCTTTCATTTTTAATAAGGTAATATTTGAACTTAACTTTGCAGCGTAGGTAGAATTCTTGTAAGTAGAGAAAATAAGCAGAGGACGTAGAGGCAGAGGATGTTTCAAGCAGAGAGAACTATGTAAACAAAGCTTTGGGGGTAGGAAGCAGGCAGCATATTTGGATAACTGCATGGCTCTTTTGGTCTGGGACACAGCATTTACAAGGATTGGAGTGACGAGGGTGACGGGGGAAATAGGGCAGGGAGTGGGTCGGGAGATGAAGCAGGAGAGGCAGGTGGGTGTCAGGTTGTAAAGACTGAATGTCGTGTTAAGAATTTTGACTTTGGCCGGGCGCGGTGGCTCACGCCTGTAATCCCAGCACTTTGGGAGGCCGAGGCGGGCGGATCACGAGGTCAGGAGATTGAGACCACCCTGGCGAACACGGTAAAACCCTGTCTCTACTAAAAATACAAACAAATTAGCCGGGCATGGTGGCAGGTGCCTGTAGTCCCAGCTGCTCGAGAGGCTGAGGCAGGAGAATGGTGTGAGCCCAGGAGGTGGAGGCTGCAGTGAGCCGAGATCACACCACTGCACTCCAACCTGGGCGACAGAGTGAGACTCCATCTCAAAAAAAAAAAGAATTTTGACTTTAACTTGTAGAAAACAGGGAGCCATTGAAGTTTTGAATCACATTTGTATTGTGGAAGATAACTCTACCTAGAGGTAGGGGGACTGTGGCAGAGTCACCAGTGGGAATCTGGTGCCAGAGACCTGACCTAGAACAGGAGTGGTGGGCAGGAAAGGAGGCACTGGGGGAGAGGTCTGAGCGTGGCATGTGTTTTGCAGGGTAACTGGATTGGGGGCAGTGCCTTTCATAAATACAAGGAAGACATGAGAGGAAACAGCTACAAGATGGATGTGAGAGGATGGATAGGGAGTGGATTGGGAGGATGGATTGGGAGTGGATTGGGAGGATGGATTGGGAGTGGATTGGGAAGATGGATTGGGAGTGGACTG